AATGCCTCTACAGACTATACCTGATGTCAATTTCCTGTGCACCCTTTCAGAGTCTATGAATTTATAAACATAAATGTATGCATGTTCTTTTCTTCTCAGTCACACAAATTGTAGTGTACTCTAATATTCTTTTATATGATTGTTAACTATAGTAATAAATCCCAGACTTCTACTCATTTCAATACAGAGTTGCTACATTTTTTTAAATTGCAAGATATTCTTTTGTAGAGATGTGCCAAAATTGAACTAGTTCTTTGTTGATAGATCAGTCTCATTAGCATTAAATAGCATTATCAACAATACTGTATTGATAGTTTGTGCAATCTTCACTAATCGTTCCCTATACAACTATATTTGGAAATTCATATCTAGCAAAGGTACATAGGAGAAGTTTTTTACATTTTGAAGGTTGAGACAACTTGCCATCCATCAAGGCATTCAATGTGTACCTTTACCAAGAACATGAGAGTTCCTACTTCCTTTTCATTTTCTATGTGTATAACTCTGTTTCTGTTTTATAGTATTCATTCATTTGCTCCAGTGTTTTAGATTCAACATAAAATTGATAACATACAGTTTTTGTCTTTACTTAGGTCCCATTTGTTTATTTTTACTTTTGCTTCATTGAAGACAGATTAAAAAAAAATACTGCTATGGTGTTTGTCAAAGAGTGTTCTGCCTATATTTTCTTCCAGGAGTTTTATGGTTTCTGTTCTTATATTTAGGTCTTTAATCCATTTTGAGTTTATTTTTGTATATAGTGCAAGAAAAGGTTCTAATTTCATTTTTTTACATGTAGGGTGTTCTTTCCACAGCACCGCTTATGGAAGAGTCTGTCATTTCCCGCATTGTAAAAGCTTGCCTCCTTTATCACAGATTAATTGATTTCCTCTTTGATTTCTTCCTTAACCCAAACCCATTGGTTTTTTAGTAGCATGTTGTTTATTTTCCATGTGTTTGTATTTTTTGACAATTTTCTTCATGTAATTGGTTTCTAATTTTATACCATTATGGTCAGAAAAAAAATCTTGATATAATTTCTGTCCTCTTATATTTGTTGAGACTTGTTTTGTGGAAAATATGTCATGTCATTTATCCTGGAAAACATTCCATGTGCACTTGAAAAGAATGTGTATTTGGAAAACATTCCATGTGCACTTGAAAAGAATGTGTATTTTCCTGCTTTTGGATGGAATGTCCCATATTTATCTATTACGTCCAACTGGTTTAATGTCATTTAAGACCACTGTTTCTTAATGATTTTCTGTCTGGATAATCCATCCATTGATGTAAGTGGGGTGTTAATGTTTCCTACTATTATTGTTTTATTGTCAATTTCTCCCTTTATGTCTGTTAATATTTACTTTATTTGTATATGTATATATATGTATATATATATATATATAAAATACACTCCTATATTAGATGCATGTCAATGAATGTTATAGCCTCTTCTTGTATTGATCCCTTTATTATTATATAATGTCCTTCTTTACCTTCTTTTATAGACTTTGTTTTAAAGTCTGCTTTGTCTGACATGAGTATTGTTACCTTAGCTTTGTTGTCATTTCTATTTGCATGAAATATTTTTCCATCCTCTCACTTTCAGTCTGTGTGTGTGTCTTTAGCTCTGGAGACATCCACCCTATGTCTTTTGATTGGAGTATTTAGTTTAAAGTGATTATCGAGGGGTACATATTAATTGCCATTTTGTTACTTGTTTTCTGGTTGTTTTTGTAGTTCTTCTTGGTTCTTTTCTTCTTTTAGTTTATTCCTTGTGGTTCTTCAGTGGTATGCTTGTGTTTCTTTCTTTCTAGCTTTTGTGTATGTGTTGTAGGTTTTTGATTTGAGGTTACCATGGGGTTCATATATGTTGACCTATAACTATATCTACTTGTTTTAAACTGTCACTTAAGTTCAAACACATTCTAAAAGATCTATATTTTCACTCCCTTCTCATGTTTTGTTTCTGATGTCATAATTTATATCTTCATGTTTATCCCTTAACTGTTTATTGTAGTTATAATTGATTTTATAATTTTTCCTTTTAATCTTCATACTAGCTTATTTAAGTGGTTGACTTATCAGCCTTTACTTTATATTTGCCTTTAATAGTAGGCTTCCTTTTCTATACATTCTTACTTCTTGGTGTAGCCTTTTCTTTTCCACTCAGAGAAGACCATTTAACATTTTTTGGGGGGGGAAACTTAATACTGATTGATTCTTTTTAGTTTTTGCTTGTCTGAGTTCTTTATCCCTCCTTCAATTCTGAATGATAACCTTGTTGGGTGGAGTATCCTAGGTGATAGGTTTTCCCACTTCAGCACTTAAAATATGTCATGCCACTCCTTTCTGTCTTAAAAAGTTTCTATCAGCTACAAAATTTCTCTGATAGCCTCATGGAGATTCCCTTGTATGTGATTCTTCATTTCCTTTTGCTGCCTTTAGAATTCTCTCTTTAACTTTTGCCATTTTAATTATGATATCTCCTGTGGTGGGTCTTTTTGGGTTCATCACATTTTCAGACTCTATGTGCTTCCTGTACCTGGATATCTGTTTCTTTCTTCAGGTTTGAGAAGTTTTCAGTCATAAAATCATCAAATGCATTTTTGACCTTTTCTCTCTCTCTTCTCCTTCCTGGGACCCACTATAATGCAAATGTTAGTTTGCTTGATACTATCCCAGAGGTCTCTTACACTGTCCTCATCTTTTTTGTTTGTTTTTCTTTTTGCTGTTCTGATTGGATGATTTCCGTTATTCTACCTTCCAGATACTTATGCATTCTTCTGTATCACCTTATCTGCTATTAATTCCTTCTAGTATGCTTTTCCATTTCAGCTATTGTGTTCTTCAGCTCTGACTGTTTCTTTTTTATATTTTCTAATTTCTTGTTAAAATTCTCACTGTGTTCATCTATTCTTTTCCCAAGTTCAGTGAGCATTCTTACTATTAATGCCTTGAACTTGCTATCTGGAAATTATTCATCTCTGTTTTATTAGCTGTTTTTTCAGGAACTTTTCCTTGTTCTTCTGTTTGAAACAAACTCCTCTGTCTTATTTTGTTTAACTTACTCTGTCTCTATGAAATTAGGTGAAATAGTCACCTATCCCTGTCTTGAAGGGATGTTCTTGTGTGGGAGCATCCCTATGCAGTCTGTGTGCACCCCGTCCCATTTGTGGGAGAACTGGCTCTGAAGTGAGCATGGATTATGCGTTCCCTGGGGTGTGCTGCACCTATTACTTAGTGGGAGGTGGGGCTGGAAATGGAGGGACTAAAGCCAGAGCCACTTGTGAGCAGGAGCTGTCCCAGTCCTATCAGGGATGGATGTGGGTCCCAAGGTGCTGAAGCAGAAGCGCTGAGGGTTGGGTCTGAGCTAACTCCATTCCCTCTAAGTGTGCACTCTCTCCCTTTCTGGCATTGGCACCTTCAGCTCAGAGGGAAGTTTTGCCAGACCTAGAGGGACCAGATCAGGTGCCCGGTGTGGGTGAGGGCAGGCACTGGCATGATCCTGGCACACCAGTCAGGGTTCCAGGCAGCATCCAATCCACTGTCTCAGGAGCACCAGCAATGGCTGAAGTGCTGGGCCTGAATGGGCTACATTGCCCAGGTGTGTTCCCTCTCCTCAGCAATGGCAGCCAGCCATTGCCCTACCAGGGAGCTGTGCCAGATCTAGACACACCAGTACACATGCTGGGGCAGTTGTGGGAAACTGGCCAGAACCCTGGGCAGTTTCAATCTGCTTCCTCTGCCTTGTTCTTGGGAGTAAACAAGCAGGTTCACACTCTTCACGAGTGAAATCTAGGTTTCTTACAGCCCTTCTGTTAGTCCCATTGGTTTTCAAACCAGCTAATGGGACTCATCTTCCCAGTGTCAGATCCTAGGGCTAGGGTGCTTAATATGTGGCTCAAACCCTACACTCCCCAAGGATGATCTCTGAGGCATGATATCCCCCTCCTTTTCTGTCTTCCCTCCTAGGGCCAGGGATCCCATCTTGATGAC